AAAACCTGGCTTTTTGTTTTTGCAGGAGGCAAAAGGGTCAGTTTTTAGATTATCACAGTCCTGTAGGATAGAGTTCTTGACTTCCCACTTCTAGTTCGTGAGAGTATGCCTACTAAGACTCTGACTCAGTATTCTGAAGGCCTGGGAAATGCACTGTCAATAGATGTATTTGGTAGCAGATGCACCAGTTCCAGAGGTTGACCACTTCCTTGCACATGGGTGAAGAGCTCATGCTACCTTCTGTTAACATATAGTGCATTGTAATTGCATTCTTCATTATGATCTGCACATACAGCCTTGAGATATGATGAAGGAACACCTGGCAGTCTGTATGCACTGTCCTGAGCCCCAAGAGAGATCAGAAGCCATGCAGTTGGAGATCATTCACCCTAACACGCAGGACTTCTGTCACAGTCATCAGTGATGGGTGGGATGGAAGCAAAGGGACCCACCAGGCAGGGGAGAACCAAGCCAGGAGAGGATTTATATGGGCCACTCTAGACACACTACCAGCCAGAGGTTACCTGTCCCAGATTCCTGGTTGTGGCAGATGCCATCACACAAAAGGAGACAAGTCTGACAAGCACAATCAAGATTTGCCTGCTCATCTTGGGCTATATGGCGTCCCCCATATACATGACACTGAATGCCAGAGCATACCTCAGATGAAAGCTGTCCATCTATTCTCAGAAAGGCACAGCAATTTCCCAGGGACTGTCCAAATAGGCTTCTTTCTTCATCAAGGTTTGTAATAAGATTGCCAAGATGGATCCACCAATGAACAACAGTTCATTCCTACGCAGCCCAAGTGTTATTGATGGCCTCCTTTCTGAATATCTTTATTCAATATATATACAAAAGGCAGTCACTTAGAGCCCTACTAAGCATTGTGAAGGCAATCCTGTGTTTGAATAAGGAGTCCTCCAGTCACTTTTTGCCTAGGACTCTGAAATTTACCTCCCGATGATCTTGGCACAGCATTAGAGTTCCCTACAATAGTGTGCATATGAACAAGCCCATGAAGAAAAAGATAACTTATATTGCATTAAGTGGAGTTCTTTGAGAGATACCATCCACATGCATACTACATAAACTACTCTTCCCTTCTTCCCCTTGGGATTCTGCAGTTAGGAGGAAATTAATAAGCAGGAACTACATAATGCTGATGGGTGTGGACCCACCCACAAATCAGAGTAGGGTGGCTGCAGAGACAAAAAAGATCTGAGCTAAAGGACAAGCATACACAGTGCATACAGAATATGTATGCAGACAGTATATTGAAGAACTCTAGTTACTATAAGTAACTTACCTATTTTATAGGAGATCTGGAATTTCAGCCTCCAGGTATGTTTTCATTTCAGTCAGCAAGTATTCAGTTCCAATTTGCTTTACTTATAGATCTGGCCTTGTGTTTTTGGTAGCTTATTTGACAGTTTTACTCTTCCATGGATGCTATTGTTAAACGGTGCTTCCTGGCAGCATTAGCAGTTATGACCACTTTACATTATCAGCTTAAATGTTTCCTGAATTTTTACCACCTTAGTGGAAGACATAGTTGAGCTCTGTGCAAGGTCCCATAGGGAATTTAGTGATAGAATGCCATCGTGACTGTAATAAAACTGTCCTGTAGCTGAATAAAGTAATTTGCCACTGGAAGGATGTGTCTGTTTTAATCAGGTCCTTACTCTATCATATATTTAAGCTCAAATATGTTCCAATGGATGTCTGAAAGAAAATGAATATCCAACGAAAACCATATTGCCATATTAAGATAGAGGATGTAGAATTTTATTAGAGAAAACTACAAATGTAAAAATAGTTGTGAAGTTATTCTGTATCATCAAAAACAAAACTAGATCCTCCAAGGAAATGTGTTTTTTTTTAGTTCATGCATGTATTGAAAAAAACAGAAAAAACAGTAAAATGCCTTATTAAAATACTAGTTTATATTGCATACAGTATACAGTAAAATTTTGCATTAAAATAATTATGTTCACATTGTCTATATATGTTAAATGCCTAAAAAATTATTTAAAATAATATTGATGCAGTCCTGTTGAAAGTTACTCTTCAAAATACAGTGGGAATTCTAGCAACATCTAAATATTTTGTAGCTGCAACACTAATAGAATTGATGCTAAGTTTAATGTTCTAGAAAACAACTACTTCAGGGTTATTTCATGTAAACATTTCAGTTGTAACACAATAGTTCAAGACTTTTTTGGCAGGGCAATGAGGGGTTTGCACAAAAGTGCAAGGTACAATAAACATAGTAGAAATTACACTTACATCATTAAGTACAGATAGCTGGAATCTACATTCTGTGAACTTAACTATCTGTAAGTTTACTTCATCTTAAAACAGGAACTTAAAAGTTAAACAAATATATATATTACTTATGCTGCATTCATTTTAAATATGAAGTAATCACAACAGTCTTTAAGGACCCTATAAATCCTTCTTCTGAATAAAACTTTCACATGCACTGAAAGCATAAGAATAACATATTGTACATATATTTTTTCATAATGAGGAAAAGACGTTGAGACCCTACTCACATTGACACATTTAAATAATTATATGCATGTGACTAGTCTTGTTAAATTCAATGGAACTACTCATGCACATAAAATTACTTACGTGGCTATGTGTTTGTAAGGTCAGGACCTGCGGGAAGAAATGTGCATATGTTTAATGTTAGTAATACTTATTAAACGTGAATGAGCTGGCTTCCTTAAGCGTGTCCTTAGCAGATTTTGCTCATCTGTCATGCTGCCGTGACTGTAAAGAAAATCTGACCATCATTTATTTCTCTTGCCTTCCCTCCAAAAATGAGTCACAACCTTTCCTTTGTGATAGTGTAGACATTTTTAAGTGATAAGATTCTAACTAGATGAGTCTTGAAATGCCATGATAGAGGGTTTGGTTTTCTTTTTTTAACTTGCATTCCAGTATCAAAGGGAAGATTATTCTTTTAAAAGAAAAAAAAAACCTATTTACCTTTTGGAGGGAGAGAGTCTGCTATAGTGAAAGAGGCGGTTTTTAAGTTAAAGTGTACTTCATGAGTTATGCTGACGATGTTTGCATTAAACTGCTGATTGATTTGAAATGTAACAACAATCTTAAGAAATTGTCCGCTAACTCATCTGTAAAGTTTGCCAGCTGCAGTATAAACTGAACACATGAATGGGATACACAAAGAAAAGCCAGGGGGCAAAATGGTGACCCAGAGTGAGTTAATATACACAGTTCAAATTATACATAAATTCACAGATAAAACCTCTTTTGCCTAGGGTCAGAGAACATCTATTTCTAAATTTTCCCTGAATTCCTGTCTTAAAAAGGCAGAATGCCTAACAGTATTCACAGAGAAAGATAGATACTTTTTGGTCCATGTCTTTGATATGAACTATTAGTGCCTATTTTTATAATGCCCACAGAATGTAAGAATAAACATATTACCATATACAGTAATACAGTTTTTATTCATTAATGCATGTCTGCAATGTCTTCTTTTCTTTATGTGTAGTGCTTATAAGTGTAGCAATGTGCGTAATGCCTGTTTGATCAGTCCTTGCGGCTGAAACTCTCATTCTCCAAGGAACAGTTATTGCAAGGCAAGGACTGTTTATTTACAGTGGCCTGCCAATATAACTCCATGAAATGTCGGAGCCGGAAATCCCCAGGCCTTTTCTGTTTTAAATCTCGTCGCTGGCAAAACTGTGATCATGACGGCAATGTTTGTTAGGGAAGTTCAAAGTAACTTGCTTGGGAGTGTTGATTGTTGGTAGCTTAAATTATTTAGGGCTTTCTTTGGTCTTGCATTATTCCTGAACTATAAATATTGAAATTAACCAAGCTAAGCTGTGGTTCCAGACCACCCCATTCATTCTCTGAAATCAGTGGGCTCCTACACATGCAGGGAGCCTGCTCTGACACACTGGAAATCCAGCATGTTGGAACAGATTTGATTAATTGAGTCTGTTGGAGCATGGAAATTGACATGCTCTGGCAGCCTTGCACATCCCGTGTATCAGTGTTATGTGGATCTCTGCACTGACAAAATGGTGGCGGGGCACTTTGAAATAAAACACATTCGATGAGCTTTAGTTTAAAGTGCCCCGCCACCATTTTTTCAGCATGGGGACAGGTGGCGACACTGATAAATATGACACACAGGTGCTTTTAATTAGTGCGGCTCACTAATTAAAGTACCCGGTGCCATGTGAAGACATGTAAAAATACCCAGTATGTTGAATTAATCTTTTTCTTAGGATATAATAATTTATAATGAAAAAGCTATAAAATAATTTTACAATATGTATATAAACCATTAGGATTTTTTATTATGTAGTTAAAATCACTGCAGCTACTTTGTGGGTTTCAGTATCTGTCTAAATATACTCAAGTATACTATGGGGGCTATTTTTCTACAATGAAATGTTTATTTTAAGAAATCTATCTTTTAGTTATTTGAGTGTTTGACATTTGAACTGTTTGGGTGCATCTACACGTCACTGTGCTTTAGTACTTCCTTTTGGAAGTACTAATTTGGAAGTACTAAACCACGGTGCTGTAACAGCCCATACTGTACCATGTGTGTGGCACGTGGTTAGTTTTCACTGTTACTTCATCGTAGCAGCAAGCTAAAATGAGGGAGCGCGCTGCTACGGCAAAATAGCTGCCAATCATGTGTAGACTCACATGATTGCTACGCTGCTGTAGCGTGTCATACGGCAACATTGCATGCCACTACAGCAAGGTAAGGTGATGTATAGATGCGCCCTTTGAGTAACTAAGCCAGCTTGCATAACTACTGTAGGAGAATCTAAATTAAGAGATCCTTTTAGTGGAGAAAGTTTATTAAGCAGTCCTTTTGATGGTGTATATTTTGAACATTTAAAAAAAAACACTTTAACAATGAAGATCCAAAAAAAAATCAGGATGATGCTATAATGGTGCCATACAGTATTATGATGCTTGTTAATCTATGTTTCTAGTTCGACAATCAGCAAGCATTGGGAGGCAGAACTGGCCACTCTCAAGGGTAACAATGCCAAGCTCACAGCAGCTCTGCTGGAGTCCACTGCCAATGTAAAACAATGGAAACAACAGCTTGCTGCATATCAGGAGGAAGCAGAACGTCTTCATAAGCGGGTGAGTCCATGCAAACCTCTAATGGCCCTTGAAATCCACCAGATTGAGGTGTTAATGGATATATTTGATCATTTTGAAGTAAATCAAACATAGAGTTTATGCATTCTCTCAAAGGATTATCAGGCCATATTGCAGTTGCCAAACTACGCAAGCTTTAAAGCGATCTCAGAAATTTCCCTTAGGGGTTTATTTAAAACTATGAGATGGGGCTAAGTGTTCTGCAACACAGAAGTCTTTAATAAGAAATGTCACTTTCACACTGATGAAGGGATGTGTAGCACTTGAAGGATACAATCCAGATTCATATCATTTCCATGGGGCTGACAGATGTGCAGCTCTCCGGTCTAACTCATGGCACTTCACAGTAATTGCCAGTTAGACTAACCCTCCCGACGCAACAGACATTCACTGTTGCTTTGGGCGGGTGGGGGATCAAGCTCCAATTTGGAGCCAATCCAGCCAAGGAGCTGCAGGCACAGCTTATCTCCCCCAGTCCTGCCCCCTCCCTCCCAGCTGCAGTGCTGTCTGCACAATAGGACAGGGGGAGAGGGCAGGGGAAGGAGGTTGGGCTGGACTTTGTCCAGCTTGCACTGGAGTGCGGGTGGGGGATGTCCCAGCTGCCTGTGGAGGGTTTAGATTGAGAGTGTGGTCGGGGGTAGAAAGGTAAGAAAGATGTATTGACTTAACAAAAACACAACTACGCATAGTAACAAGACAAATGATGACAGACAAAAGCAATTCATGTTGGCAACTTATTGGCAGCCCCTCTGATGCCTGATACACAGCAAGCTTCTCTTTC